AAGCAATGAGCATGAAACTGAGCAAACTCAGGGAGGCAGAGAAGGACAGGAAGGCCTGGAGTGGTATGGTTCATGGGGTCACGAAGCGTCAGACTCCTTATGCATATGAAACAGGTGCTCTTCAACTAAGCTGTGATCCATCCCATCATCAGGCTAACAGGGTCCACAGTAATATACAACTTTCCTGGGTTTTGAGGACAGTCAAAACTGTCTTGCATATTCTATGCTATGAAAGGAAGATCTTACCTGGCCTTCAGTTGCAAACAGCATACAACCTACTTCACTCCAGCAGGAGAGTTAAACAGAGATAGGAGGATATCAGAAAAGGAAGAGACGCTGCCAGAAAGAGAAAGGATGGGTGTCCCATCCACTTTCCCCAGGCGTCATTCACGGTTTCAGCCCAGCTCACCATTGGAATGCATTGCAGCACCCCAACAGATTGGATAAAAAGTTTTGCCATACCTTCCATACATGTCCCTTATGTCCCTGTGGAAATATGACTCTGGTAGTGAGATTATCTTGCTTATTTAAAGGCACCCTCACCAACACTTAACTATGAATGCCCTGGAGTTCATTGTGCAGGCAACCCTTACCTTTCCTCCATGGTAAATCTCCCACCACATTTTCCCAAGGAATACGGAAGTCTACAAATACAGATACAGACAGCAATGTTACTACATAACAGCGTGAGCACTTAATGCAAACGTCCAGCCTAGACCTAATATTCACTTTATATTGTTTTCAATAGGGGAGAAGAACTGGAGAAGAAAATTCAGGCAGTTGCCTGAATAGGGTTGTCAACCCTTCATTCCAGAAGAATTGCTCAGACTCATTAAAGTCCTGGAATAAATAGAGTGCCACTTCTTCTGAGGATTATTGAGGACTTTTAAACATAAAGTGGCATCATCTTGATATAACCATCACATATGCATACAAAGGCCTGTGTGGGATGGTACAGAGGGAAGCTGAACCAAACGTTCAAGGTTCTGAAGATACTGTAGGTGCCACTATTAAAATAAGAGGCTTGGAACTGAAGCAAAACCTTTGTCAGGATGGTGATTTATGCCCATAAAATGCATGTCCCAGAACGCCGTGCATTGGTCTTCCCCAGCCTAGACACCTTGCAGCTGGGTAGGTCTGTACTCTCAGAATTCTTGGTAACAGCCACCCTGACTGAAATTCTGGGAGTTGAAATCCACACAAATGAGGACAGTCAGGTTGGAGAAGGTTAATTTAATGTTTCATCACAGAGGGCTAGAGGGTTTTCTTCTACAGTACATTGCTCCTGGGGGCGAAGAAAGGTTAAAGTTCCATGTCATTTTCAAAACCTGGAAAATCACTGTCATCATCATCCTGTGAAAGGACTTTACAAGTATTTAATTTAAAATAGCATAAACTGGGCTGCAAAAATCTAGATGGCCACCAAAGTTTGAATTTTCTATATCTCTTTGCTGCAATCCAGTGGTCCTCCCAAAAACTGCAGCCCAGGTACAGTAAGTCTAAAACAACATCAATTCTTTATTCAATCAGTTAGATCACAGGGAGCTCAAAGATGAGATGAGAAAAGCAAGAAACGTCCAATTTTCTATCAATTCAACAGAACAATAGTGATAACGTTAAAGTTATGTACTAGCTTACTAGATTTTTGTGCTTGGACCTATCATCAATATGTGAATAATATTAAATTGAAAGTCTTATTTGCTGATTAATTAAATTTAGCAATACTAAGTCACCACATTAAGCTGTTTGTGCTAGTAATGACCAAAAACACAACTAAGAGGAATTAAAGTGATGGAGCATAAATAAATTCAATAGGTGTTTTTAATATCAACAATTTAAGAAGTTTAAGAGTCTTGAGAGAGGAGATTGGTGGCCTTACCAAATCTTTGACACTTGTAAAAACATTCCAGCAGACTTGCAAAGTTATTTTTATTGCCACCACAACCTCCAAAAATGAAGGTCTTACACATACTGCTCTTGTGATTGTAGTAAAAATTCTCATAGTTTCCATTACATTTTCCCTGTTTCGGTTGTAGTTTGCATGTTCTGGGTATAATTACTGGGAGGAAGAGGGGGGGAAAGGAAGAAAAATGTTTCAGACACATTAGTCTTGTCTTGTGAAAAACAAAGGCAGAAATTTTGAGATATATCTGAAGTGCTTTAAACTTACTTTTAAAAAGAGGGAAAAATTATTTGAAAGAAAAAAATAATTATTTAAAAGTTTTGCAGGAAATCCTGTTCTGGATTTCCTGCAAAACAGCAGATCCTCACTAAATTCATTACCAATTGGCTGAGTTCCTGCACTACATGTTTCATTGGATTCCCGAATTAATCCATGGGGGAGATGTTCACTTAATACCCTGAATCTTAAACTCACTAAATGCCTGGATTCACACAACATACGAAGTCACAAAAACTAACCACTAGGTTATAGGTTTGTAAGTCACCCAGTTGAGTGTGTTTTGTTTGTAGTGACCTGGTTAAGTATGTTTCTGTGAGACACTTCCCTATTGTTCACTAGGCCTTATTCATTAACTATGTTATCTGAATTCACACCACACACAATCTCATAAAACTAACCACACAAGCTGGTTTCGCTCAATACATTAGGCTAAACTAGACTGTTGTTGAGTTCAGCTAACTGCCCCAACTGAATGATGATAGAATCAGAACCTCTCTCAAAATGTTCTGCAACAGCATTGCTCAACACATTAACTACCCATGTTGTGCTGTGAAAAAAAAAAGTTATGGTTTAGACTCTTTCCAACCCACTTAGATGTTTATAAAACTTTTCTTTGTTTCCTATGTGGTGGCAATCCAGCCATTATGACTTATTCAACAAACCTAGATTAAGAGAATTGTGAGAACCCCAGTGAATAAAATAATACCATTCTGGAGTTCCCCAAAGCAAGAAATGAATGAAAGAAATCATAAAAGAATTACACAAAGTTAGCCCAACCTGAAGTCCTCTGCAACCCTTCAATTCTGCAACTGCTGCTCAATCTCCAGAACTATAGGAGTTACAGCATGATGCGCTTCAGGAAGTGGCTACAAGAAGAACTTTACCTATAAACCTTACCTTTCTGCTTGGAGTCAAGTACGATAAGTTCCAAGAGGACGAGAAGGCAGATGGTGCCCCAATTCTGCATGGCAAGTGCCCAACAAGAGTGCTTGCTTCCAAGTAACCCCCTTTATATTGCATCTGAGAGAGAAACAGAGATAATCTGGGCTTCACAGCTCAATTTTCGATAATCAGGGACACTCTGAAGCTGTTTTATTTTAGCTCATGGTATCTTTCTGTATTTAAAGAATTGCTTTTCAGTTAAGGGCGATTGCCTTTCAGTTAGGGACATAGTGGAACCATAAAGTTAACCAGCGTGACCTTCTCACTGCCAGGTGTCCAGCCCCCACCCGATGAATCGAACAACCTGTTCTTTCAAATGATAATGCTACTCCTCAGGAAAAGTCATACCCATACTGCATATTACATTGACATCTGTGCCACCATTTCCCCCAACTTCATCTATATTCTACATGCATAGGCAATTCTGCATGTCTTTGTCTTCTTTAAAATCTATAGTTATAAATCAAAACCTGAAAAGGTAATTTTTATTTATGGTTCGGGTTTGGGTTTCGTTTTGTTTTTGGATATATTTCCCCCTGTATATCATCCTGAAAATAAAATAAATCAAATCACTTTTTTCTACTGGGGGTTCTCAGCCAACCCCGGTAATATAAGGGGGTACTTTATAATGCACTCTGTGCCTGATTCATCAAGCAAATGGGCCTTTCTTCCATCATGGGCTTTATATCAAGGCCCTAGCAATTTTAAAAGGACATACAAAAGTAGGCATGTACTTTGGCAAACCTTTTGCCTCATTTTTCCAACTCACTCCATACCGATCCAACCCTTGGTTTTACTGCAATCTCATGGTCTCACTCCTGCCCTGCCTCCTTCTGCACACAGATGTTCCATCCCACAACACTTATTTAAAGCATTTTCAGCAGGAAAATGGGGGCAAGAAAAAGCAAAGTGAAAAATGCCAACCCTACACATAACAGTGATTGGCTTTCACTTTCTAATACAGGCACTTGGGAGGTGTGGGCTGCCCCCACTTCTCCTGGCCTTCTGAAAAGGTGCAAAAACATGGCCATGCCAGATGGCCTGGAGGCCTGATGGGGGCTCGCATTGCTGGAACTAGCTGGTGGGATGATTGATACTGCTTCCCCCCTCTTCTTCAATTGTATTACTGGCCTTTATAGATTTGTTACTTGTGATTTTAATTGGG